CCCCAAAACCCCAAAACCCCAAAACCCCATCAGCTAGATCATAAGCTTTTATTTGATTCTTAAATAATTCTTCAAATAAATTATAATGGGAGCTTGCTGTGGTTCAGATCGCTAATCTGGCAGAAATATCTAAGAAATGGCAATCATTACAGAGAATGCAAGTTTCAAAACCAGAAGGTCAGGTTTTAATCTTCAAATCCAATATGATATTGGAGATGTTATCGGACAAAGTAAAAATCTAAATTAAATCGAACCAAATTTTCACTCTTTTTTAGGCTCTGAGATTTCTGAAACTAGATTATGTCAAAAGAAGCAAGGACAAAAGGAAACAAGGATTCTCAAGATTATTAAGAGATAACCAGCAATGGACTTGAAAAGACTCAACAAAATACTGAGCGATATACTCAACCAGAGTCACCCAGGACTTCTTAAAACTGAAGATATATTCTATGATGATACAAATCTCTACATTGTGCAGCAATAAGCAGTGCAAGGGGATCTATTCAAAGTCCTTGAAGCTAAACCAACCTTCATTGAGGCTGATGTTGTTGAGATTCTTCATTAATTACTTGGAATCCTATCCTACAAGCATGATAGTAATGTCGCTATTAAGAATATGAAACCTTCAAATATTTTATTCCACACTGGTATGAAAGAGGGTGAAAAGATTCACATCTCTTTGGCAGATGTTGGCCTAGCTGATATCAATAGAAGCGGAGATCCATACTTCACAGATTATAAGTAGCATATGTCCCCAGAGTTAGTATATGGCTAATTAGATCAATTGGGATGTAAAACAGATATTTGGTCTTTAGGAACTATTTTGTATTTTATGATTACTCTAAGAACTGTAAATATCTACAATGGCCTAAACAAGGAAAGTCAGAATTTGTTTAAGGCTGTAGATGAAAACTTCGGTTTTGAGGGTAAAATATATAAGCTAATTATGTTTTACTATAGAGCATAACTGGAACAATATTAGTGATGAATTGAAGGATTTAATTAAGAGTTGCTTGAGAGTCCAGGCTGACTAAAGACCAAGTGCCTAGGATTTGCTTAAGAATCCTATTTTCACTTAAAAGAATGTGGCTAAAGAGGGACTTTTAAATCAAGGTGAAAATGCAGACCTGCTTAAAGACATTCATGAAGAACTTACTAAGTATAAGGTAAAATAAACATGAATCTAATCTTTTAGAATGCAAATTAACTCAAGCAAATTGTATTGAGATTCGTTTCACAGCAAGATACATAGTATAGCAATGAGGATAAAACTAGAGAACTATTCTCAATTTTGGAAGCAGAAAATAAGGGTTTTATCAGAAAGAGGAACCTAGTTGATAGTAAAAAATTAATCATTTCAAAATATTGGTGATATAGTGCTTTCATCACAATATGGAGTAGTTGCTGCAACAAAGATAGTCGATGCAGTAGATGGAGACAAGGATGGAAAAATCTCTTATGATGAATTCAGAGCTGCAATGGTAAAATCCTAATTAGCCGAAAGGGAACACTTGATTGATAGTGCTTTCGAAAAGCTTGATTCAGTAATTATTAAACGACTTTTTAATAATTTCTCTAGGACAAAGATGGGAAATTGTCAAATTAGGAATTAATGGATGGGCTGATTCTAGGTTCTGAAATCTTTACTAGATATAAGAATGAATTTTAGGCTATGGCCAGTGAGGTTCTCTAGAAGTTCGATGATAATAAAGACGGGGAACTAGATAAAAAGGAATTTAGGAATTATATAATGGATCATTTCCAAGCAAAGACTAAGTGATCCTACTTTCAAGAGATCAGATTTTTAAAACTCAATTAATTCTGAATTTAAGCCAAATCAAAACCTTAAATAAAAATTTTACCCTCAACTTTATGCATATTTGTGCGAATTTAAATGATTAAACTTTATAGTTCTATTTGACAATGACGGGGTTTTGGGGTTTTGGGG